TTTGAGTTCACTATTCAAGCCTCACCAGAGTCACAGACTCGTAACTCTCAATTGAGCATTGGATAATTTAGGGCTGGGAATTCGGATTGAAAAAATTCTTTTATATTTTTTGCATAAAAAAGAAAAGAAAGAAGAAACTACCAAATTGGTTTGGTCAGTTTTTTCAAATTTTCACCCATTTCACTGGTTCAATAATAAAATGGTTTTATAAGTTGAATAGATCTGAAGAGCTTACTATTTCTTCGTTAGACGAGTCGAACTAGTCTGAACAGAGTTGATTTATAAGACACTACTGTCCAGTGATACGAGTTTCTTAATTTTGATTTTTTTTAAATTGATAATTTCATAAAATAACTTTATTAACGAGCAAATTTTGAATTTAAATTAAAATAGATTGTTTAATTGATTCATATAATAATTCTGATAATCTACTTAATTAATTGAGAAAATATCTCTTCATTATTGTTCATTCAACGCGTCTAGCCACGTAGGCAGGATGTATGCAGTGGATGGTTTCAGATATTTTCCAAAAAAAAATTATATATTTAACCGTAAGGTTAAGAATAGAATCCGCGCAGTAAAAAAATTTAGCTTCCACAATCTAACTTCATATTCAAAGCTGGATGCCGCTGGCCAGTTACAAATTAGAAAAAAAAATTAATTTTTTTTTACTATTTATAAGAAGAATATTTATATAACCATGCCTACAAGTAACAACTCTCCCTTTTACACGGGCTGATATGCTTTCTGAAGCAGAAAGTAAATTCCATCTACGTCCATTGAAGTTTCAACTTGAACCGGCAGCCGCCGGTTTCATTTCTATGTCAACTGAAATATTCATGAGAATGCTTTTCGTTGGTTTTTTCCGAAAACAGAAAAGAGCAGAGAAAAACACTTTATACTAATTTTCTTTTCTAAGGATTGCTTAAAGTTGGAAACAAATTCGTTTAGCGGGACATCTTTCTCAAATTAAACAAAGCAAAACACTTTCTTCCAAGCAAGACCTAAGGTTTTCTGTGGAGGAGATACCATGGAAAAACCATGTCCCACGATTGAGTGATCCAGGCAGATTCTTCAGAGTGGAGATTCTTTGTCACTGAATCAAGCTAGTTTTCTTTCTCATTAGAATTCCTTAGCATGGTCTTTGCAAATTAGATTTTCTTGGGAAAGTGACAAGCACAGAATCCAGGAGAAATGAAATATTATACATGCACATGAGCACATACAAGAATTAAGTTGGCAATTGATTATGAGAAGAAAGCGACTAAACCTTGATTTAGAAAATACCCATTAAAAATTTTATTTACATGAATTATAGGTACATGAAAATGATGTATTGAGCTTGAGTAATGAGCTTGAATTCTTGCAGCTGTCAACTAATTAAAGAAAGGAAAGTGTTGGATTGGGATGTTGTAACAATTAGAAATAGATTAATATAGAGTGAAGTTGTGGAGAGTGGAAAGCCCCCATCACCTAGTTCCTAATTTTCAATTAATTGGACTTCACTTTGCGGCACAGTGCTAAGCAAGTTATTTATATGTTAAGTTGAAATTTTTAAATATTAATGTGTTGCTATAGTTTTTTTAAAAAGCAGGATACATGGCGTTGTTTGGTTGTATCAGAAAAAAAAAAAAACTTTTTTATGTTTCTAATTTCTAATTTTTTCTATTAGCTATTTTTTTTCAATATTAAGAAAATAAAAATCCAATAAAAAAAATTAAAAGAATTCAATTTTTGATAATTTTATTTTCCTTATTTCAGTACAACTCTTTTGATATTTTTGATTTTTGATTTTCATTCAGTTTAAACAAAAATACTTGTAAAAGAGAACAGGCCTATCTGATTTGCCTGTTTTCTGTTTTTATTTTTAATAAAAATAGAAAATAAAGTTGAAAATGTGTTTGATTTGCATGTTTTCTAATTTCTAAGTTTTTTTCTATTAGTTATTTGGTTACAAAAAATTTAAATTCAATAAAAAAATTCAAAGAATTCGATCTTTTGATAATTCCATTTTCCTAATTTTGTAAAACTCTTTTGATGTTTTTGGTTTTTTTGATTATCATTCAACTCAAATAAAATATACTTATTTGGTTTGCCTATTTTCTGTTTTCATTTTCAATAAAAATAGAAAATAAGGTTAAAAATATGTTTAATTTACGTATTTTCTATTTTCATTGAAAATATTTTTTAGAAAATGAGTGGAAATTAAAAATTAAAAATTTTTTTTAGTATTTTCTTTAGAAAATTTTGAAAATAGAAAACATATACTGAAAATCTGAAACCATCTCTTGAAAATAAAAAACACTAAAAACCACATCAAAAGTGTTTTCTAAAATTTGAATCTCTTATACTTAAAATTATTTTTAAAAAATAAAACAGCAAATGAAAGTAGAAAACATTTAATAAAACCAAACGGGCCAAATTTCCGGTTAACTAAACACCCATTTTTGGATTTCTAAACTAGAATGTCATAAGCCCACAAGCTCCAATGTCTTGGTTTTTACGCCTTTTGTAGACTTAAAACGGAAGCCAGAAGCTCAGAACAGAACAACAGATGAGGTAAGATTTTATTCGCAGTTGTTACCTTTATTCTGAATCATTAAATATAATGACCACTTAAAGTAAAATTGAGGGCATGAAGACAGAACAAGTTCTCATAAATGGGGTTGTGGATGAGAGGAATCCAAGTACAGTTTCCTTATCTTATTACTTGCTTGCACCAAATGCTTTCTATTATTCTTGGAGTAGCTTGGAAGGAAATGCGTCCGAATGCTGCAATTTCTGACTGTAAAATTTGACTGATGCTTTGTCCAGGACTCATTCAAGAGATAAAAAAAGGTAAAAACAAAAAAGGAAAAAAAATGAAAGAAAAGAAAAGCCGTATGTGACATGCATGAAATGACATGGACTCGCTTTTGTGCACGACAGGATTGGATCTTATGGTTTTAATCAAAGAGATTCCGTCTTCTGTTTGCCGGGAGAGAAAATATACCTCCTTCGTTTGTCCCCTTGTCTTCTCCCAAGGTTTCGTCATTGACCTGCAGATGAGTGGGAGCAATTTAATCAACATGGCCACCTAACATCCAACGTATTTGAGTCATTCTAATGTCTTTAAGTCTCAAAGAGTGTTCCATTTCTTCTTACAATTTTTCAGATGAGCTGGATCATATCTAAAACAGTAATTATAGATTTCTTTTGTCTATCGAAAATTTTATTTATTTTTTAAAAATTTTTTTATTTTTTAAAGTAAAATTTTAATTTTTTTTGAAAAAAATTTGACGAACATTTTTAAAATATTCAAATTTTATAATATTAAAAACTTTTGTTTCTCCTGATATACACGCAAAAAAAAAAGAGAAAATGAGGAAAAAAAAGAGAGAGGATTGTGATGGAAGTAAATGTTTACCACTTGAACTGCAAGACAACCTTCACAATTTTTGAGTGGCATTTGGCCTTTTCCTCTGTAATTTTGACTTATTCTATGAGTTCCTTTCTTCTCCCAACTTTTAATTATTGGTTATATTGAGGTTGAATTCTAAATTAGAGAAAAGAAAAAGTCTAAGAGTAGAACTCATAACGTTTGAATGAACGTTACAATTACCTTACCACTTGGTTAAATCTCGGTTCTTCTCTTGACTTTTAGGGCTAGGGATGAATATTGATGATACAAAAATTGTCCCCATTGGGAACGCTTCTTTAAAGAGGTTTATAAGAGAGGCCCGGGACAATTTGGATAACCTTTGGTTGGGCTCGAAGAGCTTCCAGGAACTTCCGCACCCCACCAAAATAAAATACTAATACCCAGACAGTCGAGAGACTCTCCAAGCAACCAATCGGTCTTGCCCCAGTGGAATCCAATCGTCAACCATGCAAGATGGGCAACGCGCACGCTTCCTCTATTGAAGGGCCAGGCCCTTGCTCTGCCCACCGGACCCACTAAATCCCGCATTTGGGCCTGGCCCAATCAATTCTATAGGAGTTGACCTCTGGTTCGGACGAACCAGACGCCACCAGCATTCAGAGACGTCGCAGGTACCCCATCTTCTATCTGGAAGGAAAACCCAAAACCCTAAACGGCATCTTTGCTCCTTGGCTGCTATCTCACTTCTCACTAGCCGTCCGTCTTTCAGCCGCAAAACCCTAAGAGCACTGTTATTTTTTGCTGACTGAAATCGTATCCTTGGCGCCTTACTCACAGACCGAATACAGAACACACCTGGTGAATCTGAAATGAGCCCAGCCATGTCCGACGTCGAACTAGCCCCTTCGGAGAAGAAGAAAAAAAGAGCAAATCACAAAACGATGTCGAAGCGGCCGACACTGGCGATTACCTAATCAAGCCCCAGAGCTTCACTCCCTCCGTCGACACCTCCCAATGGCCGATCCTTCTCAAGAACTACGACCGCCTAAATGTACGAACCGGACACTTCACTCCCCTCCCCTCTGGTTACTCCCCCTCAAGCGGCCCCTCGCAGAGTACATCAGGTACGGCGTCCTCAACCTCGACAAGCCAGCCAATCCCTCCTCCCACGAGGTTGTAGCGTGGATCAAACGGATCCTCCGGGTGGAGAAAACGGGTCATAGCGGCACCCTCGACCCGAAGGTCACAGGCAACCTCATTGTCTGCATCGACCGGGCCACACGCCTCGTGAAGTCCCAACAAGGCGCTGGGAAAGAGTACGTTTGCGTGGCCCGACTCCACTCGGCTGTACCCGATGTCGCGAAAGTGGGTCGGGCTCTCGAGACCTTAACTGGCGCGGGGTTTTTCAGCGCCCCCCCTTGATCTCGGCGGTAAAAAGGCAGCTTAGGATCCGAACAATCTATGAAAGTAAGTTGCTAGAGTATGACTCGGATAGGCATTTGGTTGTTTTCTGGATATCTTGCGAGGCGGGTACCTATGTGAGAACCATGTGCGTGCATTTGGGGCTCCTATTGGGGGTTGGAGGGCATATGCAGGAGCTTAGGAGGGTACGGTCTGGATTTTGGGAGAGAGCGATAATATGGTGACGATGCATGATGTAATGGATGCGCAGTGGGTGTATGATAATTACAGGGATGAGAGCTATTTGAGACGGGTGATTATGCCATTGGAGGTTTTATTAACGAGTTACAAGAGATTGGTTGTGAAGGATTCTGCAGTGAATGCAATTTGTTATGGAGCTAAATTGATGATTCCCGGGTTATTGAGGTTTGAGAATGATATCGAGGTTGGGGAGGAAGTTGTGTTGATGACGACCAAGGGGAGGCAATTGCGATTGGAATTGCAGAGATGACAACGGCAGTTTATGGCTACTTGTGATCATGGTGTTGTTGCGAAGATTAAGAGGGTAGTGATGGACAGAGATACTTATCCGAGGGAAATGGGGGTTGGGGCCTAGGGCTTCGATGAAGAAGAAGTTGATCGCTGAAGGCAAATTGGATAAACATGGCAAGCCCAATGAGAATACTCCCGCAGAGTGGCTTAGGAATGTGGTTCTTCCCACTGGAGAGGATTCTGTGATTGCTGGACTTGCTGCTGCAAATGAACCGGTAATGCAAGCAAAAAGGTGGAGGTGGTAGATGTGAGAAAGAAAAAGCAGGATAAGGAGGATGGTGAGGAGAGTCATAAGCGTAAAATGGAGGAGATTGATGGTAGCCCTGTTCAACATATTGCTAAGAAAGTAAGGGTTGAGGAAGCTGTAGAAGTGAAAAACAAAGTTGAATTGAAGAAAGTGGAAGCTAAGCCTGGTGCAGAGGAGACTCTGGTGGAAGTTAAAAGAAAAGAGAAGAAGAAGAAAAAGAAACAGGAAGGAAAAGAAGAGGACGGGAGGAGACCACAGTTGTGAAGGAGGTAGAAGTGGAAGTTGAGAAGAAGGAAAAGAAAAAGAAGAAGAAAAAGGATGGTGAGGATGGTGCATCTTCATGATGCTGAGAAAGCCAAGAAGGAAAAGAAAAAGAAGGATAAGTCGAAGGATGAATCTGGGTCATCAGATGAGGAGAAATCAGAGAAGAAGAAGAAGAAAAAAAAAAAGAAAGAGAAGAAGAGCAGTAAAGATGCTTAGATCGGTGGAGGTTTTGCTTGTAGACTTGTTGGGAGTGATGATGAGGCAAACGAGGGAAGAAGCCGGAGAGGATTAAGACTTCGAACAAGAGTAAGACGAGTAAGGACATGTATTTTACGAATGCTTCATCTCATCCACAATGGTCCGTTTATAGATTGCCATTCTGAATGGCTATTTTCAACGTTGAACTTCTGAATTCAGTGTTTGTACTTTTATTTTTTATGAAAAGACACACGCGTGATGAATTTAATATTGATTTAAAATGTTACATTCATCACAATCCATTGCTTTTTCTGTTGGAAAATTTTCTCACAATTAGAGCTGTAACATGTAATCAATGGTGTTTACAGTTTAATAATTACTTTTCCTTGCACAATTACCTTAAGCTGTACAGTTTACATCTAATCAAACGTGAAAACCGTTCTTGATATATAAAATTTTTAATGCAAAACCATCCTAAAAAGCGTAAAAAAATTTACTATTTTACTTCTGATAACAATAATTTTTAAATTTATCTATTAGATATTATTTGAACGGTGCGGGCATTTAAATTTTTTTTTTTAACAAATAGTTGTTTAGATATATTTTTTTACAATCTTTTAGATTCTCAAAAACAAACTTAACTCAG